AACTGGGGAGTAGGACTTCATTGCAAAGCAGTCGTCCACAGCAGTTTGAGCCGCTCTCTCTTCCAGAGTTGACTTGTCAAGGGTCGTAGAAGTCAAAATTGGAAAACACGGGAGCAACGGTCCTAAAGAAACAGTTCAAAGACGAAGTACGTGTTATTTCGCATTGGTTTACCTTAAAACGCCGATAGCAAAGAACAGTATTGTTAGTTACTAGGCGCCCCTTCTAAAAATGTTGCGCAAGACTCCCAAAAAGCAAACTGAAGCAAACATCAGTAGTACTACGGCAAAATTCATAAAAAGCGGCATGCTACGCCGGCCCTCTGCTCAAAAAACTGATGCATTAACAGTCACAACTAACGGCTGTTCTGTGCGTTATGAAACAGTTTTCGCTAGGATGATAGTTCCACTTTAACACATTTGCGGACGTAAATGCGTTATCGCGTTTTATTCAGTCGCACCCCTCCCCCTTAATTTTTATAGAAATCAACAACACCGACTTGGCCTGTCGGATAAAAACCTTCCAGAAATAGACATTCGGTGAATCGTCATGCGTCAGATTGATATGAGTTGCTGCGACGATGCGTAGCGGATCTCGTATGCGCCGACGATCAGAAAGAGCCTGCCGCTACTTAGCGATATGACATGCGTCCTGACTACATCCGACTCCGGTAAGATGGTCGTGCGGTTACTCAGTTAACGGAACTCAAGGTACCATTAGATCAGACTAGCATAAAGATTGCCTTCAAAAAACATTCGGTTTGAGGCGGCAAAAGCTCGTGTTAGCCTTTGGAATCAGGGGTACGGACACCAAAACTATGCCAAAATGACACTTAATAAGACCAGGCTAAGTTAGATCAACAAGGTCAGGAGCGCTAGGTGTTTAGTGCGTAACTCAACAGGACCAACCATGGTTTTTCCTAAATTTCTCGTCTTTCAGACGTCATTAAGTTATATTCTGTCTTTTCAGATCCTTCAGAAAATTACACATCCGTTGACATCAATCGTTCTTAAGGAGGTTACGGTGAAACCGATAGTGCTAGCTATTTTCCTTAATGTCCTGTCTAAAGCCCAAAAACGCATTCAAACTGCAAACCTGAAATAAAATCCCTTGCTTGGCAGACAAGAATTCTTGCGCAATCACTAAAAGGCCTAAGACAATACCAGCCTCCAAACAAACCGCATTCCTAAGGAGGCGGAACTAACATATCTCGGTCAGGATTGCTCATATAGTTCCCAAGCAGGACAAGGAAATAGGAAAGGCCGGATCGCGCAATACAGTTGGTCTTCTGCCAAATTCCCGGTGGGAAAACATGCCCTTCACCTAACCCTTAACCGGATATTCGGATCAGTCATCAACTTTAAGTGCGGTTCCTGCTTCCATATCCTGCCGGTGGGAGAGAGGGGCACATAAGCAATCCATATCCACATATTTACGAGGTGGAAGCCTGCTCATTAAAGCTGACGAAAACGTCCAATACACTATCCCTAATGGGCGGCACTGATATACGCAATTGCGGTTGTTAGAAAGAGCAGGTTCGCAACATATCTGAAGAAAACTAATGGCTATTGCCTAGGCCGAGACCGTGGTTTTTTGGGAGAATATCCCCAGGCAACGTCCAAAGTCCCTCCGGGACTGCTGACATTGGAAGAAAACGGAATGTGTGCGGAAACGTTACACAGACAGTGCTGTCTGACTGAAGTGAGCTGCTTTCAATTCGACGGTTACGAAGTGCAAAGTCCTGATCCTGTCAACAGGTTTTTAAGAACCGAAAACCTGGTTACCGACGGCCAGGGAGATACACGCAGATGGCGGCGCCCGGAGGCCTTACATTACAGAGTTCACACGACTATATGTCAACAAAGAAAAAAACAGACTACTGGGGATCAAGTAACGGGACTGACATCCTTCACGCCCTGAGAGGCGTAGGTGACCGCGCTGTAGGTGTCCTTAGTAGCCTCTGCGCTTAGACGCCTGCCTATAAAGGCCAGCCGAGAGAAGGAAAAGGAGACACGTAGCTTAGACAATGAAGTACAAACAAAAATGCCCTGTAGTTACTACTCTGTTGTTCAGACTTCCAGAATCAGACTACCAACCTGCGAAACGTAGACACATTATACCTTAGCCTCTGACGTCCCATAAAGTTGGTCTGACATTCCCAAATCACTTTTTAAGATATCGTACGCTCCATCGGTATTGGATTTCACAGAAATGCGTTGCGACACCCTGGTTAGTACTGCTTAGGGTCATTCTTAATCTCTCTGTGGTAGTTCGTTGACAACGGAGATTAAAACAAGCAGTCGTGACAACTGCTTTGCTTCCTAATTTCTTCAATGCAATCAAGACTGCCTTTTATCATGTGGGCGGCAAACAGGTGTCGTATTGGTTCTAATTCCTTCATAAGCTTTGTGCTAGTCGGTGTTAAGGTGAATTAGACATAGGGAAAATTAACCGTAAATCATAACAAGCGTTCATGACAACTAATCCGCAGGCCGACCAACACGAGTTCATTGAGAAGACCGTAAGGTTTCCGTCATTTGTTGCACAGCTGCTGAGAACGGCCTCGTTGGACAGGGGCGCAACGGACTGTAGTGACATTTAAGCCTGTCTTGTTTTAATCAGTTACAATACACTTTGACACTAATTTGAAAAAGCCAAAGAACACGCACGTACACTTTTACCTGCTGACGACTTTGTTCTTATTTACTAGTTTGTAACTGTTGGGATACTGCTATTTTCGTTTCCTGGATAGCCTACTCGCTGTGCCCAACTAGTGGGTTTGTCTCTTACGGGACTATTGGAGTTGCGACCACCAAAAACAACCGATGGGGTTACGGTCGTCAGCAAGAAACTAGAATTGACAACAGGATGTGGGAGCGTCAGTCGTTCATTTTGGAATTCATGACTTAAAAAAGGAAAACATAGCATCACGGGAGACAGGCAGCTGTCATGTGCCACGTATAAAGCCCCACTGAAGGTCAGCACCCGCAAGAAACCTGTGTCTTATGAGTGCCAGTGGAAATTTTCTATACCGGAACCGCTGTACGCCTTATCCTTTCAGTTTTAAATTTCAGTTTATTTGAGGGAAACATAGTTGTTGAACCTCTGAACTCCCTGTTTGGTACAAGGAAGCGAATTATATCAAAAATCTGAAAATGGAAACATTAAACAGCTACAGAAGTTTTTTTCAGATTGGCAAAGTTTTCGAAACCAGTCAGATAAACTAATTGTTCCAAGTGTTAAAAACGTTTAAATTACTAAATGTGTCGTACAGCAGTCAGTCTATGCATAATTGGTGCTATCTCAGTTCCTGAGGGAGACGAATTAAATGCCAACACTCACATTCAACGGACTTGGGATAATAATAAAAACAAACGTTACTGAAATACAGGCAGAAATATAATTACATTAATAAACTGTTAGAACGAAATGCTAAGACGATATCGGTCATGTGACATTATGGCGTTAGGTGGTATACTAGTCCAACTTGCGCTTTAAAGCCTCGATGGAGGTGTACATGATGACATCTCCAGGCAGAGCATTCCAGACCTTGATCACTCTGTTTAAAAAGAAGAACTTCCGAATGTCCAGCTTGGCGCCAGTTACGCGTGGTTTAGATGGATGTCCTCGGAGGTTCGTTGTGGTCGCTAACTCAAAGAAGTCAGCAGGTACGAGACAGCAGTCCTGGCCGCGCATTATACGGAATGTTTGTATCAGGTCGCCTCTTAGCTGCCTGTAACTCAGTGGAAAAAGGCCGATATCGGATAACCGTGTTTCCTAAGGTAGTGGACACTGTCCACTAACAAGTTTGGTTACCCACATTTAAACTTTCTCAAGGATGCTGAGATCTTTAGAGGTCCAGGGTTTCCACGCTTGAATAGCGAACTCCAGCTGTGGCCGTACGAAAGTCCGAAAGACTTTTAGGAAGCAGTCCTCATCGAAGGTAGAGGAAGCTCGCGTGACAAGATAAAGAACTGACATTGCGAACTTGGCTTCCTTGGAGCAGTTAAGCGACGGTTTTAGAGAAGCCGTTACCCACGCACCCAAGTCTTTCTGGGCGTCTACTTCATGCAATGGTACGCCATTTATGTGGTTGACCCTCCGGCTAGGAGATCGGGTCCTGCCGACTCGCAAAACATTGCACGTAGTCACATTAAACGGCAAAAGCCAGTCCTGTGACCATTTCTCGAGTCAAGGCAGGTCTGCCTGCAAGCGCCCTTTGTAAAATTCAGTTTGGACGACGCTCCAAAGTTTAGCATCATCAGCGAACATGCCGACATCAAAATAAGGTTCACTGACGCAGTCATTGGCGTACATAATGAAAGGGATAGGGCCAAGGATAGAGTCTTGAGGAACACCGCTTTTAACCGTTACCTCCGCCGACTGCCTGTCACCGACGTGGGCGGCAGAAGCCCAACAGGTAGCCACAGTGAGAAATCCTCTCTAGGTGGGTCGGGTACAACGGGATGGCGGTTTTGAGGGGAAGAACGGGCGGGGTAAACGGCAAAGGGCACTGGATAGGCAGTTGGATGCCGAAAAAATGTTGGAAATCGCAGGAAAATAATTATTTGTTTTAATGAAGTCAAAAATAGGGGAGGATGGCGCGCAAATAGGGAAAACCGTAGGCAATGCCCAATCGAAGGTGGGCTGACCGGGGGCGTGATGTGATTGGCCGCCGGGGCGAGTAAACCTGAACCGCCAAGCGGCTAACCAATGGGATCGTTGGCGCAACGCTTGATGTGGTGTGCATCAGATGGACGGGAAGCAGACGATGCGCAAGCGGGACGCGAGGGGACAGCGATGTACTGCGGTTGGGTAAGAGTGATTGAATAAACTGCTTATGACAACTGCGTCACTTCCCAGCCCCTTGCTAACCCCCTCCTCACCCCCTCCCTATTTGGCATATCGATGATCTCCACCGCATCCACCGTTTGTTCAGTAGGTGTGCTTGTGGTATTTTTTTGCCGCCGCGGAGGAATAGAGAGTGGTTTGGTAGGACAAGATGATGACGGAGCAATCAGGCCATGGTGAGTGCATTAACTACTTGCACTACCCAGTCTGACTGTTGCGCACCCGTCATCTGCTACCTAAACCCGTCTTTTTTACTTTGAAATAGATAAGACCATGCAGTACACTAAACCGCAGTCAAGAAAGCTTCAGTTTGTTCCAGAGCTCATTAGAATCGAGGAGGTTTCGGAGGAGGAGGAGGAGGAGGAGGAGGAGGAGGAGGAGTGCGAGGAGGATGATGAGGACGACAGCACAAATGACAAAAACGGCATATACACAGAGGTGATGGAGAAGGACCAGCAGCAGAATGTGCACGCTGGTGGAGACGCGGACTGTTTTGCTATCGCCTCAGAAGTAAATGGTGGAAACTGTGAGGTTTGTACAGTAGTGGCAGATATGAGGAAGATCTATGGCTAGCCAGCATTTAGGTTATTGCTGCCCATTTTACAAAAGAAACCATACGTCAATATACTTCTCAGATATTCAAGACATCAAATTCTTTCCTCTCAATATATTTTAATTTCCGCCCACCTTACGCTTTAACTGAAGAACTAATAGATGACAATATCATGTTTTATTCGACAAATAGGGCAATCAGGCATACGTACATGCATCATAAATTTGCAAACATAACGCTACCTATGTACAGGCATAGTAAGGAATGCTTCTATGCGTGGACTGGAAAATGTGACCAGAAAAAAAATGTCTCCATAGGTAACGCAATCGTTGACGAATGGGATTTCGACCGCTGCGATCCAACAATGCATAGGCTTCTAATATGAGAAGAGTGAAGGAAAGGAGAGGTGGGTATGTCATAAGGGAGACGAAGTGCTAAAGCAGTAACATGGCAGTAAAGTAGTTGTGGACTTACGCGACGACATGTAAACGG